AGTACAACTAGTTTATCCTTATTTATGTCTTAAAATATAATTTTTTTTTATTGAATATTTATTCTATTTATGTGATATGTCCATCTTTAAGAATAATTACTACTAAGGATAAAATAGAAAAAAATTAATTAATTATGTCTTGAACTTTTAAAATGACAAATAATTTGAGATAACTATTTTAATTTTAGAAATAACGACAAATAATTTGAGACAAAGTGAATACTACTAATAGCCAAGTAGAGCAAGAGTGATCCGTTTAGTTTACCTTATCCAATATTTCTTTCTAAGATGTGTAATAAATAGTAGTAGTTAAATTTGTGCTATTAATATTTCAAGGGTGATGTCAGTTTGTTTTTGCAGTACTATTTGCCTTTCTTGGATACTCTTTTGTGTAATAATTAATATAAAAACTTATTTATCGTTGGGATGGCATATATACTTGGTGTATGCAAGATTTTACACAAGTAGCGTCGTTTTTATGGACTTATAAGGACATTGAGTTTGGAATTATGGCGATTTTAAAGGCTTACATGTTGTTCAAAACATTTCTAATTGTTATTTACAAGTATTATATCAAGCAAACGTGAACTTAATAATGTATACATTACTACTATGTTTTAGGAAATATTATTTGCAAACACGTACACAAAAAGATTCTATGTGAAGCGGACAAATACACTTACTATCAAATTCATACAATGAAGAGAGGCATTTGGACTTATTCTCAAGCAATTGAGAAAGAAATTGGAATTGCAAACTGCAAATTAAATACTACTACATGGTGGCCACTCTCTGAAGCAAAAGAGATAAGACTTTGGAGACAGCTACTACTACTCGAGTTTAATTTGACATCAAATTTTGAACCTCTAATTCAGAGTTGTGACCTCCCATTATTGACAAAAGGGATTTCCAAAACTATTAGTAATTCAACTTCTTTTCTTTTCTTTTTTTTCATTTTTAGATTTATTATAATTTTGGGAGCCAATAGCGTAGGAAGATATTTTCCAATTGTCCAAACCGAATTTAACATATATACTGACAGTTAAATATTTTTTATAACTTCAAATATATTATTATCTATTATATAGATAACCAGCTTTATTTTTTATTTTCTTAATTTGATTTATTATGGGCGATTATTAGTAGTTATTATTTAGGTTACTTGATAGTGAATTTTTTTATTAATTATATACAGTGTGTAAAAGTTAAATTCGTCCAAAAAAATATTAGTGACAAATATCAATATGTAGGAACCTTTGCTTGTTTGTGGATATGGAAAATAGGCGTGGTATAAAATTCCTGAAAAATTAGTATTTTATAACTACATTGACAAATTAGTTTATCACAGACGTAATTAGTTTATTAAAGGTAAGTCACTAATTAAATATATGATACTGTATGTTCAACAAAAAGTACTTATTTTTATATGATTAATAATGAATTTCTTTGTAAGTGTAAATACAAAATAGTCTACCCTAGCTCTAAATTTATAAAATATTTGGGAGACATGAGTGACGGAGAGGGTCTTAAGGATTTGATCTCGAAGCATCTACTAGGTTAATTAGTTTGTAAGCAAAAAGAAAATCCATCATTTAATTAAATGAAAATTGTAGTACTTGCAATGACGAAAATTATCAATTAACTTAAAGGGTTAATAGTCAAACAATTCTACCACCACAAAATAAATGACATTTTCTAGTGAGAGACATCTAACCAAATTGGAACACTCAAAAATTTCTGATGTGACTCAGTATTAGATTTTGTCAAACATATCATTAAATTTGTTTCAATGGGCAAAAAGTAAACGTGATTACCTCACTTACAAAAATAGAATTCCAAGCATTGAAAACTCAAAAGGTCAGGCAAATGTCGATGGAAATATGTCTAATTTGTTGTATTATCAACGTATGGCCTATTGGCCTAAAACGGTCAAAATATAATGTGAGCACAAAGTAATATTGTCTGGATCAATCTTATACGTTTTTTTTTCAAAAAGCTTACACCATTAAAAATATCCAATAATTTATAAGTAAATCTTTTTTCTTTTATACTTTACATTTGAAACTTTTGTTCACACACCCAACATAGCGAACCATTTAAGAAATTTGAAAAAGTATGGACTAGACTCTCTATTACATGTCTATTCTAAAAACTTATATTGTGTCCAATTTCTTGCAACTAGGTGACATAATGTACTAACATTGACTCATTGAATAAGACTTAGTTGAATATTGTAAGGTAGAGGTTACATACTTAAATCCCACATTTAGTTTGGCATTTTATACATGCCCATTTGTCTTCTATCCCACCTCATCCTCTTTCGGAGAAATGATGAGAGACATTAATTAGACACAAGTACAAGCTTATTTCACAATTCATATGTCACTCATTTTTATCTCATTGCGTGTCAGTACCTCCAAGCCTGGATATAGATTTAACTCTATTAACTAAGACATAATAATAGCCTGTTTGGTCAAACCGGAGAAATCAACTTACTTTTTTGGAAAGTGTTTTTGAAAAAATACTTTTGGAAAGAAGCAATTTGTGTTTGACTAATCACTCTAAAAATCACTTTTGAACAATAATTTATATTTGACCAAGCTTTTCAGAAAATGCTTTTAAGTATCAAATTACGAATAAGGACATGAATAGATTTACTTAATAGTTAATATTATAAGTAAATAAATAATCTTAATTTTTTTTATTACATGCAATAATTAAATCTTTTCATTTTATTTAAGTAAAATATGAAAATAAAATTTAAAAGTACTTAATTCTTTTAATATAAGTTAAATATATTAAAAATCATTTAACAAATATAAAAATATTCACCCGTAAAGTCACTATATATTCCAAAGCTATCCTAAAAATAATAAAAAATATTTATACATTAATATCCTAAGTATTAGGTTTAACAGTTATTTTGGTATATACTATATTTTGTTAAGGATATTTTTGATAAGAAAAAAAAGTCAAAATTGCTTCTGCTTCTACTTTTGGGAAGAAGCTACTTTTTTCTGCTTCTTCCCAAAAGCATTTTCCCCCCCAAAAAAACTTGGCCAAACACCTTAAGTTAGAAAAAAAAAATGCTTTTGAGAAAAAAATACTTTTGGCCTCTTGAGAAGCTTGGCCAAATAGGCTATAAGTAGGGGTGTTCGTGGTTCGATTTTTGCTTAAAACTAAACCAAACCAACTAAGGTGAGTTTTTTAATATTCAAACCAAGCCAAACCAATACAGTATAAATTTTATCGGTTTGGTTCGATTTTTGCGGATATTTTTCGATTTTTAAAAATATAGTTGATAATGCAAAGAAATTGATATAAGTGAGATTAAAAAAAATAAAAATAAAAACAAGATACATGATAGCAAAACGTATATANATACTAATATTTCATAATAGAAAACTACCAAGGACAAAATTGATTTCTAAAGCAGAAAGAATCAGAGAAGCGATACAAAGCAAGTAAAAAGCTACTTTAGAGGATAATAACCACAAACAACTAAAAATCAAAATACCCAATTTCTCTATTTTTTCCCTTTGTGGCAAACACATTGAAAAACATATTGAAAAATTAAAATTGGAGTAGTAGTTCTTACTTCTTATTGGGGTTGCCATTATTGACGGCAAGAACTAAGAAGAACTTGAAATAGTATTGTTCATTTGCTGGAAAATGAGACTAGCTTTGGCTTTAGTTGATATGATTTTGGCAATTTGCTTTTTAACTAGGGTTTTGCCTTTTCTTTTTACCTAATTTTATTTTATCTTAAACTTAAATGGGCTAGGGGACAAATGGGCTTGGGGTTTTCTACTCTACTAATTTGTATTAGTATTGGACTTGAGATGAGCTAAAATTATAAAAAAGATAGAGAAGACTCAATTAATATTATAAAATAAAAGACGTGCGTGCGCACACATATATATTTTAAATATGTATATATTGTCGGTTTGGCTCGGTTTGGTCAGGTTTTTTGGGATTTAATATCAAACCAAACCAAATATTATCGGTTTTTTAAAATTTAAATCCAAACCAAATTAAACCGAGTGATTATCGGTTTATTAAGTCGGTTTGACTCGGTTTACCGGTTCGGATCCATTTTCAAGTTTCATTTGAACGCCCCTAGCTATAAGTATGGTTGATTGCCTTAATTATACATTTAGTTTGACAGCTGAATTTGTTGTGACAAGAAACGAAAGAAGGTTCAATAGTCAATCACCTTCACCTTTCAGAATTATGCACAGACAAAGCTGCCTTATCAAAAATACACAAGAAAAACACAAATGTTTGATCATCAATTGTCAGAAATCGATGATTTCGAACTAACGGTTCATTATTTAATTGATCTTTCTACTCTATCCGAGAGTTATCAGTATTTATAACAGATGTCTAGCAGAACGTTATTAGATCTAATGACAAAGTCAATACTAAAAAAAAGATGATGTTTTCTAGATGAAATGAAAATCGAATTCATGTAACAGCAAAGAAAGATTTCCTATTCTTTAACCGGAAAGAAATGTGGTCATAAAAGAGGGATTAACTAGAACAAAATTGATTATTCTTCCATATTCTGGACATTAGCTTCATGGGAGAATATGTAAGAATTAAATCTTGGTTTAAAAAGCTATGTATGGATGATATAATTTGCATAAACAACAATTCTTGAACAGCAAACAACCAGGTCATATACTCGATTCGTCAAGGTCTCCTTGATTCGTCCTCTGTATCGTACTATATATCTTATATCTCATGTATATAATGGCTCTAATTTTGTCTAAAAAATCACTTGTATGTAAAACAAAGTACAGCAACTTGATGAAATATGAAATTCTTACTAAACATGGTCTAATTTCTACTCTTTTAGCCCTAGAGTTCCATTTTTATGAGTACTATTTTGCAAAGACTAATGATATTTCATGTAGCTTGAATTACTGTGAATCGAAACGATAACTTTAATAGTTATTGAAAGTGGTTGCAGGCAAACAACTAATTGGAAATGCAAAAAGGTAGAAAGACTGGTTGGTTTATAATCCAGAAATCTTTTTTTTACAAGTCTGTCAACAACATTGACACCACAATTCACATTACAGCTATTCTTGCTACAAAGTTACAATTACAAAGAGTCTGTCAAGGCTCATGAAGGTGACATTTCCTCCGATTTTGCACCTTCTGCTGGAAGGGAACTTAAGTCTCTAACGTCCGTGTCATGACTCTCACATGCTTTCCTTTTGGGCGACTTTCGTTCATTGTTCTTGGTAAGATCCTCTAGAGATCTTGAAGCATCACTTGAACCAACGCTGACATGATCCTGCTCGGGGGCGTCTGATTTATCATCAGGAAGGGAATGATTTATTTCTGTGGATGGTGAAGGAGGTTCCTCTGATTTTGATGATGATACATTTAGTTCTTTCCCCATGTTTTTCGTCTTCTCAAACATCATCTGAAGGTATTTCCCCTGTTCTTCAATCCGCAGCTGTAACTTTCTTTGGATCTGAGGAAAGATGTATCTTATTAGAATGATGAATTAACCCACCAAATGTGAAATGTATATCTTGTTACAACCATGGATATTAAAGATAAACCAGTAATCAAGGTTTCTGATCATTATAGAATAAATTAAAAAGTACAATGGCCTATAAAAGGGTACTTTTCCCTCGAGGAAAGTGGTAAGGTTTAAGAAGGAAACGTCAATCTAACTCTAAACCAAACAGAGCATTTTATCAAAGAGATAATCCATATTTTAATAAGGTTAATCAAGCACCCGACCGTTGAATTATATCCAAGCTTATAATCCATATATTATCTAATTCCAATATTATGTAGAGCCCGTTTGGGTCAGCTGATTAAAAGTAGTTGATAAGCATCATGTGTTGAAAAACACATTTAGGTGATGAAAATGATTTGATAAATAAGCAGTTACATGACTGGATAAAAGTACTGAAACAGATAATAAACAGTTAATGTGTTTGGTAAAAATTTGCTGATAAGCACTTTTTCTATTAAAATGACTGATCGTTTAAGTTATTTACAAAAAGTATAGATTTAAAAGTATTTTTACATAAAATGATGAATGACAAAAATACAACATTGAGATAATCAGAAATTATGTTTTAGAAAGAGAATTTCGGAGATTACAAAAAACAGAAGGGATAAAATCATAAAAGGCTTGGCCAAACCAAAAGTGCTCATAAGCTGTACCAACTTACGTATTTTGACTGATTTTAGGTTATAAGCACTTTTGATGTTAATCAAACGCGTATAAGCCAAAAAGTGCCTAGAAGCTAGTTTAACTAGCTTATTAGCTTAGTCAAACAACCTCTGCCCCTCTCCTCATGTTCAGGAGACTTGTCTTCTCAATTGACAAGAAAATCAGGTGCAATAAAAGCAAGAAAGAATAGATGCACGAATACCTCAAGTTGTTCATGAAGCTGTTTCTGCACTTCCATCTGCATTTTCAATGCTTCTGTTATCCCCATAGTCCTGTAATCAGATTCCACATTAAGATTTAACAATTAGTTGCAAATTTCAACAGAAAAAAGAAAGTGCTCTCTCCAAGGAATTTTGGAATTTGCAAGCTGAATGAGATTTGAAATAAACTGCTCTGACGAAGTCTTCCCATCATCCTATGTTACACAAATTAGTCCTTATATTTGTGTTGAATGACAGGGGCATGCACAAACTTCCCATATAAAATACCAAAGTTGTAAAAGATACCTTCACCTGTATTCTTGGACTTAATTCTTCTTACAAACAATTTGTAAACATTATAATATTACTCCTCAGCTTCATGACTAGTCAGTAGTCATACTAAGTCAACTAAATATGGATAAAGGGATAAACGTCTGTGCAGCTAAAATGGCATGTCTTAACAAAGATATTCACTACAAATGACATAGAGGAAATTCTTGTGTATAACATCATGCTTCTCGCACAAAAGTAAGCAGTTATCCAAGATCGGTGATGAATTAGTAATATGTTGCAATATAATTAGAGAAATACTTACGTTTTTAAGTCCAGAGATGGCATCTCCGTGACGATAGTTGGCTTCTTTTCTGAAATTCCTGTAATGAGCAGAGGACAGTCCATTCCTCGATTTCAATATTAATGTCTCAGGAACAATGAAAAATATCTATTCAGCATCAGCAAAGGTAGCTAAGTCACTCCAATATTAATTAACATTCACGTATTTTATTGACTCAAGGAGAAGGAAAGATAGGCAGGAAATACTAGCACAATAAATATATTTACAAAGAAATATCTTGTAGAATGACATGAGGCCGTAGCTGAAGTATGTAATTCGTTCTCAACGCCCAAGGAAAGAAATTTCGAGAAAATCATTAAAATATGGTGCAACCTAATGCCTGAGCTATTTTAAAGTTTATCAAGTAATCAACGAGGCAACTTCTACCTTCAGAGGGATCTGGTTTGTATCTGGCAGTCCTATATTTCTGAAATTGAAACAAATGTATAAAGTGAATAATTAATCACCTGATATTGCAACAGGAGAACAGTCAGTGAAGAAGTTTAATTTATACCTGCAAGTGGCTTTTAACATGATAGATGGTTAAGCTTTCCACATTCATGAGCTTCAAGACACCCTTCGGAGTAGCTTCTGCAAAGTAAGATTGTGAGTAAGATATAGTAAAGTCATCCGACCTTAAAAAATCTTAAAAATGAAGAGGCTACACACTTTCGCTGCCACCAAGCTTATTGACAGCTTCTACAAAAACTTCGTGAAGCTCTGGGGTCCACCGCATTCGAGGCTTAGATGTGGAAGATGATGGGCTACCAACTGGGCAGCTTTGCCCCGATGAAGCAGGAGCAGGAGGAGGAAGTTGCGGCTGTTTCGCAGGGATCTCAAACAGCTGACATGAGCATTAGAAACTTATGTTAACTAAGAACATGAAGAAAAAAAAAACTAATATCGTCAAATCCAAAATGATTCCTAGAATAATGCACTTGGAAGGAAACACTAGACGAGCTTAAAGAAAGTGAAATGCACATTTTTCTTGCTTTCGCGTCTAAACCATATTCTGTTTAACAATAATTCAGCATTTCACATTACAAAGGAAGTTTAAATTTAACAGCAAAGGTTATGTTGGTGAGGCCAAAATCCATGAATTTTTTTTCACCTTTGTGCCTTGTTGAAAGTGAATGTCAAAACAGCTTGTACAGAATTTAACAAAACAAATAAAACAGGGAAATCAAATGGAGAAAGAGCACATATGACAAGATTAAGAATGTAGCGCAACGAAAAATATGGAGTACTTACTTAGAACTATACATTGATGTATTCTACCCTTTTTAACAAAGATATATCGATGTATTCTACTTCTCGCAGCTTGGCGTAAACCGGATGATATTCTGGAGTTAAATAAGCTATTAGAATTTATTAGCTCTCTCCTTTTAGTTTCCCTTCCTTTCTCTTCCTTTCCCTGGATTCCTAAAATACGTAAAGCATAATGAACAAACCTTAGGTTCTGGATCTGGAAAATTGACATCTACTAGGATATCACTCCAGCTTGAACCGAGAGTGTCATCATCGTTAATTAGCTGATCAGCCCAGTCCTGCCAATCAGATCTCTTAACACCATCATCGGATGTCATGACGCTGGCAAGGCTTTCCACTTGGCCATTTTGAACAGGAACATTTGTAGGAAAAGCAAGAAACTCATGAAATGAATTCTGTTTGTGGTTCCCCAAGGGGTCGGTATTCAACGAGGTAGAATGTACACTTGAGTGTGAAGCTTGGCTGGGTGACATAGAAGCCCCACTTGAGATAAATGGATAGTAACGTGGCCGAGTTTCTTGAGGAGAGGAAGGTAAAAAGTGAAAATCTCTGTGGGGTCCAGAAGTGGATGACAATAGGTGCCCAACTGTTCCACTCTTTGACGTCGATGAAATTGCCCGTGGAGAAATGAAGCTTGCAGTTAGCTCCTTCTCTGAGATGACATGAAGAGAATCTGGCAATTTGGGAAATCTCTCCTCCAATTTGGGCAAACTGGGTAAAGACGTAGGCGTAGCTCCAGAGACACCCATGCTACTGTGCTGTGCTTCACTAGATCTTGGCATATATAATGCAGGCCGCATGTTGATTTTTGTCCATAAATAGAACGAACGGAACTGACTTTATATTAATACAACAGTTTCCCAAATTCCTCTGCTGCCCAAACATAAAACGATTTTAAAAATGATGGCTCTCAAGCCTCTACACCCTGTGCATCTGTGGTAAGAAATAACTAAGTTCACATCAATAAAATTGGAGCGGAGCTGCATATGTGCTAGATAAAATTGAGAACCAACAGCTTTAAATTTTCTATGTGCAATCCATATATATATTTGACACAGTTCGACTTTTGAGACAAACTTCGAGATTGCAATGATATGTCTGATCAATCTACCAAATCAATCAACAATACTATTTCAAAATATTTTGTCTGTAATCATTATGTTGAGCAGCATATTTCATGTAGTTTCTAATCTTTCACGCAGAACTTCACTTTGAGAATTTAGTCAACTTGATTCCAGAAAGGAAATAGTATCAAAGAGGTTAAATGAAAGTAATAAAACTTTACCAGTTAGAGAAGTTGAAATGCTCATCATCAGTGGAGGATAAAAAACCATATTAAAAATTTTCAGGTGTTTTAAACAAACCTCAGCATTTGACTTCACTTGACCAAAAAGATTTGGCATTAAGGCCTTGTACTATAATGACACAACACTTTAAAAGCAGCAAGAACTTCTAAGGTTATCATGGAAAGCATAAGGATTTTAGACGTTACATTAGAAAAGATGCCTTAGCAATGGATATTATACAACATGAATTTTTTATGACTAATCCTCATAAAGCATGAAGAAGATACACATCAAATGAAGATACAAGAAACAAAGTCTCCAAGGGCATCACAATGATGTGGAATAAAATTAGATTTGAAGCACCGTGGTGAAAAAGTCAATCATCTACCCAACCAGCAAAATTAAACGAAGAAGAATCACTATGCAACATCGCAACATTAAAATCCTTCAGAAATAATAGGATCTACTAGAACATTTTTACTATGAAATGAGCATGCAATTCAAAGAAAGTAAATGTCTCACAGATAATGATAAATTTACACACAATCTTCAAGCTATCATCATATGCATCCAACAAAATCAAATCTATAGAAACTAGTAAAATGCAATATATACCAGAGCAAGGTTAGAGCCTAATTCTATTGTTTCCCATTACTGTTTACTGCAGGGAATTTGCCACTAAATTTTAGTTCCTCTGAGGCTCATGCTTTTTCCATTGATTCACTAACTGAATATAATTTAAAAACCTCCCACTTTGCTGACTATTTCAGTGCTAATTCAGAACCATACAAGCCTTAAAATCAGCAATTCTGATACCAATTCTGAGATACAGAAACGCAAACTTGTCTGACATCAGTCTGACCTGCGAGCAGTAGTTATTTTCGCAATAACTCTGTGAGCAGTATTTGTAAGCACAAAACTGACATGATGTAACATATGATGGTTCAAAGGCCTCTGACCTTCGAAAACACCCAAAACTTATGCCAAAAAATTATGCATTGGAAAAGTATCTAAGAATATCTTTGGTGATATATTAATTGTATTTATTAATGTTGCACCAAAAATTACTTGCAAGTATCAAATTTGCACCAAAAATTAGCCGATCATCAATGCAAGAGGGTAATTCACGCTTACATCATAAATACAATATAAGCAAAAGAAAACAATTAGCATGCCATTGAACTTTCAACCCCCTCAAAAGTTCTTCTATGTCTTTCTGTTCATATGCCAAATAACACTAAAGGCTGCAGTTTTCCATAAACTCTTCCTGCTACCTCCCAGCCTTTGTTTCCACCAACTATTCATCATCTTTCCATTATTCTGGGATGGACCAACTCGACATTAAAAGTATACCAATGCACGTGACTCCGAAGTGAAGCTATAATGTAGCAAAAGGTGGTCAGTGTCCTTTCCCCGTTGCTTGCAGAAGCAACAGCATCTGATGGTTATATATCTTCTTATTCATAAGTTGTCTGCCACTGGAATAGCATCCCACAGACCTACAGTGCAATCCACATAAAATTTGCCACCTTTACTTGTGCTCTAAATTTCCATAATGATCTCCATGCGAGTCTTGATTCACTTTCAATGAACAAATGACTGTAAAATGACCTGACCATCAAGCATTTTGTCGATGATCTTTCCTCATCAATTTATCGTCCTTCCCTAATTGTTTGTGACTATATAGCCAATGCTTCCATCTATTGCATTCTTGTTACCCAGAAGATTATAGAGACTATAGCTGCATTTACATAGAATATTGTCATGCTCAAGAAGATTATCTAGACTTACTATGTTAACCTAGTCTGCTCCCTTCAATTCTATAAAATGATAAAACTTACATAATGCCAACTTTACATCCAAGTAGCTATTGGGATCTTGATTGAACACAAAAACATAACATTCTATCAAGAGGTGTGTTCTTGTCTGTCGCTGGTGTGTTCAGTTAGACCATAAGACATTTAGCTTCATTAAACCATGTTGGGCATACAGTGGTTTCCTATGATCTACGTGTAGTGGGGCTATATTCTCTTTCATGCATCCCTTGACTGTTCTCCAGCAATATTGAAGATTTGAAGTGCTATGTTTCATTGATTTGTTTGTAGAGTGGGATGAATACTGCCTTCAATTTCTACTGTTCTGCTAAAGAGCTTGACATACAATATTGTGATAAAATATTTACCTGACAATGATAAGCCACATTCTTTACCCGATAACATGAATTTGTGCCTATTATGATTTTGACATCCGAATGGAAGATCTTTTGATAATTAAGAGAGCAGCTTTGACATACACAACACTAGGAAGCTTGATGCAGAATGACTGTAGGTATATGGCAAACTGACCATGAGCAGCAGCAGAATAGAAAATTGCTACTGACTTGTATGTAAAATAGTGAAACATAAAGCAATGGAGAAGGTCTGAAGTCAAAGAATTCAAAGTAAATGTTGCTTCAAGGATCACATAGAAAAAATTCCTTAAGTTGCATTAAGCACCAATAAAGAAACCAATACATTTTCAGATCAAAGTAGCACACCAATAAAGAATCTTCTCTCGTTTTTAAAGAACATTACATGAATAGACTCCTACTTAGGAACAAACCAATTCTTGAATCTTAAGACAAGCAAGGTAGCTGAGACGACTCTAATATCAACAGCTGCAAAACACAAGTATAGAAGTACAACCAAAATGCCAAGCAAGACATCCAGTGACCAACCCAAAAATTCAATGGCCACAACTCAACCATAGCCAACTCCACCTTCCAATTTCATTTCATTAATTACACCCACCCATCACACAAAAGATACCACTTCCTCTTCCAACAAAACACTACAGTTCCAATGAAGTAGGGCCCACACACCAATTATAACAACAATCTCCTAAACAAAAAGGGTAGCACAGTGTGCTAAGCTCCCGTTATGTGCGGGGTCCGGAAAAGACCGGATCACAAGGTCTATCAAGGGTCTATTGTACGCAGTATTATACAACATTTATGCAAGCTCCTAAACAAAAAGCAAAAATAAAAAATAAAAGAAAAGTAGGAACCACAGAATTGTTCTACTAGAGTTTCCAAAATGAAGAAAGCAATTAAATCAAATCTTCAAAAACAAAAAAAAGATTAAGAAAACAAAAAGGAGCAACATTTCATAGAATTAGCAACAACACAGTTCAAACATAGCAGATTACTCAAACAAGCACAAGGTAAATCCAATAAAATAGCTCAAGAATCAAAGAGGGAGGGTAAAGCAAGAATTCCACATGGGATAAGAAGTGAACCTTAAGAAGCTGAAGAATCTGAGTAACAAACTCTGTTGGCTGTCGAATCCAAAGCTGGCAGATGAAGAGAGAGAGAGAGGCAAAAAAAGAAGGGATCTTTGGGCTAAAAAATATGTGGGCATGTGGGATTCTTCCCAAATTAGTTTCTTGACTTTATTATATCCAATAAAAAGTTTTTTAGAGTGATTGATTTGGGCAATGATTATTGGCCTAGTAGCTCCTACTTTTGATTTTGTCTTGTCCCTTTCCGACTCTTTACCCTTTTGTTGGGGCGTCCAATAATTTGCGTGTGGCAAATTGTATATGTAAGCAAATTGTGTACTTGTTCATTTTATTGCCCCACTTGGTTTTATCAACGGTCGAAAACTGATGAAGTTATAGTAGAGCTCCATAATTTGGTAAATATCAATTAGTGTATCGAAATCGAAAATTTTGTTATTTGGTATTCGATATTAAAAAATATTGATATTAGGTATGATATTTGGTATTTTAAAATGAAATACTGAAGTACTGATATCATATCGAAATATATATTATATTACACAATATACATATTATTAATTATAACATAAATATAAAAATTTAAAATTTTTCTTTCCTTTATTCTCTAAGTTCATCAATTAACTCCAAGCAAGTAATAAAACATTTCTAATGATCAAATTTATTCTTTTATGTACAGTTTTCTCAAGATTGATATTTGCTAGTTTTGGACAAAACTTTTGTCAATAAATATTTTTAGTTTTGTACTTTTGAGTACTTTAGTTTAGAATATTACAGTCTATGACTCTATGCACTAGTTAGTATTCAAACCGAATAAACCGAAATTACCAAACCTTATAAATCAAAATCGAAAGGAGAAAAATCGAACCATACCGAATTTAATTAGGTACGATATTGGTATTGCATTTTAAGAAACCAAATATCAAAAATACCGAACCAAAATATTTAAATACCGTACCGTACCGACCGACGAACATCACTGCATTATTGTTTTGGTGAGTTATTGAGAGTTGTGAATAATATATTGGTTGTTTGATGTGTCACTCTTGTCTTGTGAGGCCCCAATTAAAGCGGCCATTATTATACCATCCCCGTTCTATTTTAGGTTACTATTTTTCTTTCAAGATGATATTTTTTTATATTTAAAAATAATTTAAACTTAAATATAAATTAAATTATTGACACCCAAAAAGTTTGGGATTTTGTTTTTAGAGGATAGGCTGTGCATGTTGGAAAAAGTTTTTGAGCAGAAGTAGTGAAATTAGTAAATATAGGTTTGTTATAATCCCGACTGAGGCGTTAACGGTTCTCCACTTGGTAGCTCTAACTAAATAGCTTTTGAAACTAAGTTTTTTTTTTCTTTTTGAAATTAACTGTTTGATGTATCAATTATTGACCTTGATATCTTAGTAAATTTGAATTATTTGGTTTAAATTCGAGTTACTTTATAACATGTTTTATATCCGCAGAACTAGTTCATGTATTCATTGATTGTATCACTATATATACTTTTGAATGAAACTGACATCTAGGTTAGTGATATCGGTGGACATAACTCAATAAGTAGACACTGTATTAGGGGGGACGAACCTAGCTTATAAATTACGGTTTCATATAGCATATATATATATATATATATATATATATAAATTATTATACTATAAATATTTGATTAAGAACTCAATTATTATCGTATATTAACTTGAGATCGTTATTGAATCACAGTAACTTCAAATTTTGGATCCACTGCTTTAACCCATGATATAAGTTCACATCGTTTTGTTTCAGGTATCTATCAAAATTATTAATAGAACTGTAAAACCGTTCCCTACGAAGCACCATGAATGATTGATGAAAATTAACTTTTATTAAGTCGTTTACTGTTACATGTCTTGTTTGGCGCTAAAAATAAGGAAATAGGAATTACTGTAACGAGCGAATTCAAAATTTAAGTTCTATAAGTTTAATTTTTAAAGTTTTTGATACTAAACTCATTATATTATTAAAATGATGAGTTTATATCAATTATTTTTTGTAATTTTTGTGAAGTTTTACACATAAATTTATATAAAGCTCGAAAGTATTGGAATAAGATGCATGCTCTTGTTCTCGGTGGGTTTTAGGTTATGCTCGCTAAGATAACGAAGGAATGATATTTTCATACTTTCAACTCCTAGGATACCTTTAAAAAGGTGAGTGTAAACTGTGTATTCAATCTTTAGCTAATTTAGATGCTCCTGAGGTAGGACAATGCATTAACAATTAAAGGAGTGGAAAAAAAAATATCGACTTCTTATTGAATACTACGAAACTTGAACTGATTTACTTGACGGAGCTACCTACATTTATGTAGTACAAATTACTCCCGTATAATTGTCTCAACTTTATCTTTTTTTCCCACCTCCTCTTTCTCTCTTAGCATAGTAATTTTGTAAAGGTAATTATTATTATTATTATTATTATTATTATTATTATTATTGACCAAACAGGTATTTTTGTTGCATCGGAGTCTTTCGTAAACTAACTAATATTTAACCAAAGAAATTTCACTTTGGACTATAGTTATCTCAGCACCGATCAAAAATCCCAATGAAATCCATTCTTGTTATACATTTGTTTCATGATCAACATTCAACTCTCTTTTGTAAATTCATAGTGTTGAATCAATTAAAGGACCGAAGTTATATCACCAAGACTCAAATTTTTACATATTATATATAAATGTAACTATTATAATCTGCATGATGAAGGATTTTTCCCATATTGGCCACTACCAGTTGCTCCAAGTATAATTTAAGGCAATCAACTTGAACATGTATAATATACCCGATTTGAGACACAATCCATCTTTAATTTGGTTGTAAATATACTTTTATACATAAACTATCAAGACTAGTTTAGATGTCTCTTTACAGTAATTGTGACGGAAAAAACACACATAAGAAATATATATTTTTTCAACTCTCGCAAACTGAATTTTATATATCTCCCAGACATAATAACGTGCCATGAATCCTCATTTCGATAAGGGCACAGAGAAACAAGAATACCTATACTTTACTGCATTAGAAGCTTGCTATCCATGCCCTGAAAATTAAGGAGATACTTGGTAACATGCAAGTAAGGATTTATCTCACTTATATCTAACTTACAAAAATAAAATGATTTTCGAATTTGATCATTTCTTTAAATTGAGTTCGTGCATGGATTAGTTGTACTGCTTTTTTTAACGAGTCATCCCTGTGACTAAGATTTTGGGCGCGATTACTTAATTTGGGACACTTTGCAAAAGCGTTAGTGAAGGAACATATATACTTTCATTTGAGAATTGTTTGAAAAGGACTTATATTCCTTTCCCTTTTTCTGTTGACATGGAAACTTAATTCATTTATATTGTAATTAAGTTAAGATAATAAAGATGTTGTTAGAAATCTGTATTCGAAAATATATTCAAAACCAATAGCAATGGAAAAAATCAGAAATGTAGAAGAACAGAAAATGAAACTGAGCCCACTGAATTCACAGTGTTTTCTTAAGAAACTTAATCCCCTCCTAGTACCCGAGGTTTAAGATTATTTCCTCCCAGGATAGAACGGATAACCTCACTGGTGTAGCAGTACTTCAAACCCCAGTGATCAACGAACTCAAAGAGCAGTAGTAAATCACATTTACTGCTTTCTTTTCTGTTAAAACAATGCAGTAAGAATAAGGAGAAATTAGAATTTTCGTTAAGAAAAATCTGAAGGGGAGTTAATGTATTTATAGCCAAAAAATGTTAGGTTATACTGAAGAGTTACTACTCTTCAGGTAAGGTTGTAACTCAACATGGCTATTTTATAAAACGGCCATTTATGCAAACCGCCAAATTTAATTTATAACGGGAAAATGAAAATGGAGGACAATTGAATTACTGTTACAGTAACGGTCTAATTTGGATTAATTAATACTGCATTAATATTAACAAATAAATTTGGTCCAAAAGATTAATCAATCAATCATTTGACCAAAGCCGAAACCGAAGCCGAGCGAGCGACGACGACAATGGCACAAGGCTTGCCTTCTTCTCAACTCTTTAAGAGCTAGAAGAAGAGCAATTGTATATATTGTTTACCCGAAAAATGAATAAAGTTGAATTTATACGTAGTTCTATGGGTATGTGCTATAACTTGACACAAATCGTAAGAGTAAATAGAAATATCGAATATTGACTGTAGAAGATGAAAAATAAGCAAAGTTGAAAAGAGGATGATTTATGGATTAAGCAAGATGAATCAATCTATGAAGCTAAAAAGGATAATTCTTCAATATTCGAGGGGATGCCTTTTATCCTCGACCACCTTATCAGATTGTACAGCCCCCGCCTCTATCAAGGTGGGATAATAAAACTCCAGCACCGGACTAACAAAGTGCACTTCTCGAGCATAGACGAGGACAAGGACCGGGGCTGGATGGGCAGGTTCGTTCGAGTGAAGACCTCTGATCTGATCCCGGGCGAGCAAATGCTATTCCCTGAGGAGTGGAACATGAAGTGTAAGTATATTTCGATTGTTAGCTCTTATTACTTTGCTCTGTTGTCTCTTTCTCACCGATATCTTTTTTTTCGTAATATAGCAGTTGTTTGGATACCCGGTGCTATTCCCGACCTTAAGAGCTGGGTACAAGCCCTGGCTTCGACCCCTGTATACGCCGAGCGCTCGTGGCGTGATTTGTCAAACGGCCAATGGGAGGCCAAAAATCATGGTAAGCCTTTTTCTCATGCCTTTGTTAATTCGAACAGAATATTTTCTATATATTTAACCAATTATTTTGTGTGTAGGCTTGCGCAAAAATGCGGTTATGAGGCCCTCGTCCGGTGAGGAAGAGACTTTGGCCTCGGTTTCGAAACCGACGAAGGACAATAAGAGAAAACGGGCCTCCACTTCCAAGGATCCAGAACCCAAGACAAGGACAGCTTGTAAGCCGAGGAGGAAAATTATCCCTCTGACCGAAGAATCTGTTCGGCGTCTGAGGGACGAAGATGAAGAAGAAGAATAAGTTGATGGGTCCGTACTTGTGGCCCGAGTGAAGAAAACCATCGATGCCCCAAAGGCAGCTGGATCGATGGTGGTTTATGAAGCTCCGCCTCGAGCTGAGGGGATATCGAAGAAAGTTTCGGGCAGAGTCCCCGAATCATCAGAGATCAAGGAT